ACCCAGACTTATCAAGAAACAAAGAGGACCCAAATAAATAATATCAGAAATGAAACAGGCAATATAACAACTGACACCATAGAAATGCAAAAAGTTTTAAGAAAATACTATGGCCCTGGCTGGTTTGGCTCAGCGGTTAGAGCGTCGGCCTGCGGTCCAGAGAGACCCGGGTTCGGTTCCCGCTGAGGGCATGTACCTCGGTTGCAGTTTGTCCCCGGCCCTGGTTGGGTTGTGTGGGTGGCGGCCACTCAATGTGTCCCTTTCACGTCGATGTTTCTCTCTCTCCCTCCCACTCTATCTGAACAAAATATCAAAAAATGTCCTCGGGTAAGGATAAAAAAAAAAAAATTAAAAAAAAAGAAAATACTATGAACAACTAACTATATACCAACAAACTGGACAAGCTGGAACAAACAGACAAATACCTAGAAACATACACTCTTCCAAAACTTAGAATCAGAAAACCTGAATAGGTCGATAACAACTGATGGAATTGAAGTAGTAATAAAAAATAAACTCCTGCCCTGGCCGGTTTGGCTCAGCGGTTAGAGCGATGACCTGCAGTCCCGAGAGACCCGGGTTCAGTTCCCGCTAAGGGCACATACCTCGGTTGCAGTTTGTCCCCGGCCCTGGTTGGGTCGTGCGGGTGGCAGCCACTCGATGTGTCCCTTTCACATCGATGTTTCTCTCTCTCTTCCTCTCTTTCCCTTCCACTCTATCTGAACAAAAAAAAGGAAAAATGTCCTCAGGTGAGGATAAAAAAATAATTAAAATAAATAAATTAACTCCCAGCAAACAAATGGCTTCACAGGTGAGTTTACCAAACATTCAAAGAAGAACTAACACCTGTTCTCCTCAAACTATTTTAAAAAATTCAAGACGAAGGAAGACTTCCAAGCTCTTTTTACTAGGCCAGCATTATCCCAACTTCAAAACTAGATTAAAGACACTACAAAGAAAGAAAATTACAGGCCAATATTCCTGATGAACATAGATGCTAAAATCCTCAAGAAAATATTAGTAAATTGGATTCAAGCAATACATTAAAAAGATCATACACCATGATCAAGTGGGATTTATTGTGGTAATATAAGGTTGGCACAATATTTGCAAGTCAATAAATGTGATTCACCACATAAACAAAATAAAAGGTAAAAAATCATATGATCATATCAACAGATGCAGAAAAAGCATCTGTCAAAATTTAGCGCCCTTTTTTTTCTTTATTAAAACTTCCAGCAAAGTAGGAATAGAGGTATCATATATCAACATAATAAAGGTCATATATGACAAATCTACAGTTAACATCATACTCAATGGGCAAAAACTAAAAGCATTTCCCTTAAGAACAGGAATGAGACAGGGATGTCCACTTGTACCACTCTGATTCAACACAGTGCTGGAAGTCCTAGCCAGAGTAATCAGTCCAGAAGAAAAAATAAAAGGCATCCAAATTGGAAATGAGGAAGTAAATTTGTCATTATTTGCAAATGATATGATATTGTACATAGAAAAACCTAAAGACTCCACCAAAATAACTACTGGATTTAATAAATGAATTTGGCAAAATCACAGGTTACAAAATTAACATCCAGAAACCAATGGCATTTTTATATACCAATAATGAACTCTCAGAAAGAGAAACAAACAAAAAATCCCATTTACCATTGCAACAACAACAAAAAAGATACCTTAGAATAAACTTAATCAAGGAGGTAAAAGACCTATACTCGGAAAACTATAGGACATTGAAAAAAGAAACAGAGGAAAATTCTAACAGGTTGAGGCATATAACATATTCATGGATTGAAGAATTAACATCGTTAAAATGTCCATACTACCCAAAGCAATCTATAGATTCAATGCAATGCCTAATAAAGTACCAACAGCACCCTGACTGGTTTGGCTCAGCAGTTAGGAACATCGGCCCGCAGACCAGAGAGTCGTGGATTTGATTCCTGTCAAGGGCACAAACCTCAGTTGCAGTTCAGTCCCTGGCCCCAGTCAGGGTTGTGCGGGAGGCAACCAATTGACGTGTTCCTCTCGCATCAGTGTTTCTCTCTCTCTCTCCCCACTCACCACACAAACACTTTGCCTGAAGATAAATAAAGTCCTCGGGTGAGGATTAAAAAAAACAACAATGGCATAGTTTATAGATCTAGAACAAATATTCCAATAATGTATATGGAATCAAAAAAGACCCCAAATAGCTGCAGCAATCTTGAGAAAAAGGAACAAAGTTGGAGGGATCACAATACCAAATATCAAGCTATACTACAAAGCCATTATACTCAAAACAGCCTGATACTGGCACAAGAACAGGCATATAGATCAACAAAACAGAACAGAGAACCCAGAAATCAACTCACGCCATTACGGTCCATTAGTATTTGACAAAGGAGGCAAGAACATACAATGAAGTAAAGACAGCCTCTTCAATAAATGGTGCTGGAAAAACTGGACAGGTACATGCAAAAAAATAAAATAAAACTAGAGCCCGGGCTGGTTTGGCTCAGCGGTTGGAGCATTGGCCTGCTGTCCAGAGAGACCTGGGTTCGGTTCCCACTAAGGGCACGTACTTTGGTTGCAGTTTGTCCCCGGCCCTGGTTGGGTTGTGCGGGTGGCAGCCACTCGATGTGTCCCTTTCATGTCGATGTCTCTCTCTCTCTCTCTCTCTCTCTCTCTCTCTCTCTCTCTCTTCCTCTCTCTCCCTCCCACTCTGTCTGAACAAAAAATGGAAAAATGTCCTCGGGTGAGGATTAAAAAATAAATAAAATAAATAAATAAAATTAGATCACCAACTTACTCCTTACACAAGAATAAACTCAAAATGGATAAAAGACTCACATGTAAGTCGTGAAACCATAAAAATCCTATAAGAAAACATAGACAACTAAATCTCAGACATCTCAAGTAGCAATATTTTCACTGACACACCTCCTAGAGTAAGAGAAACAAAGAAAAAAAAAAAAAAATTGGACTACATCAAACTAAAAAGCTTCTGCACAGCAAAAGAAACCATCACCAAAATGAAAAGGAAACCCACTGCTTGGGAGAATGTACATGCCAATGATACATCTGATAAGGGATTAATTTCCAAAATATATAAAAAACTCATACAACTCAACAAAAGACAAATAATCCAATAAAAAACGGGCAAAGGATCTTAATAGACACTTCTCCAAAGAGGACATACAGATGGCCAATAGACATATGAAAAAATGCTCAATGTCACTAATCACCAGAGAGATGTAAATTAAAATGACAATGAAGTATTACCTCACACCTGCCAGAATGACTACCATCAATAGATCAATAAACAACAAGTGCTGGCAAGGAAGTGGAGAAAAAGGAACACTAGTACACTGCTGGTGGGAATACAGATTGGTTCAGTCACTATGGAAAACAGTATGGAATTTACTAAAAAAAATTAAAAATGAAACTGCCATCTAACTCAGTTTCTAGGAATATATCCTAAGAATCCCACAACACCAAGTAGAAAGAATATATACACCCCTAAGTCCATAGCAGTGTTATTTACGTCCGGCCGGTATGGCTCAGTTGTTGAGCATCAACCCATGCACCAAGAAGTCCCTGGTTCGATTCCTGGTCAGGACACATGCCCGGGTTGTGGGCTAAATCCCCAGTGGGGAGCATGCAGAAGGTGGCCAATCAATGTTCTCTCTCATCGATGTTTCTGTCTCTCCCTCTCCCTTCCTCTCTCTCTAAAATCAATAAAAAAGAAAAAAAAATTTTTAAAGCAGTGTTATTTACAATAGCTAAGATCTGGAAACTGCCCAAGTGCCCATCAGTAGATGAGTGGATAAAAAAAGCTGTGATACATTTATAATGGAATACTATGCAGCTATAAAAAAGGAAGGCGCTCCTACCCTTTGTGACAGCTTGGATGGATCTGGAGAGTAATATGCTAAGTAAATTAAGTCAGTCAGAGAAAGACAAATATCACATGATCTCACTTATGTGTGGAATCTAATGAACAAAATAAACTGACAAACAAAATAGGTGCAAAGGCATAGATGCATGGAACAGAATGACAGATCTCAGAGGAGAGAGGGGATGAAAAGAGATTAACCAAAGAATTTACATACATATATGCATAGTCTATGGACAGACAATAGTGTGGTAAAGGCCTGGGGTGGCACAGGGGCTGGGTGAAGGGGGCCAAGGGGAGGACATCTGCAATACTGTCGATAAAAAATTTAAAAAAAAAAAAAAAAGGCAGCAGCTGAGAGAACCACCATATTGGAGAACGTGGGCCCACCCATTATCTCAGATCAGAATGGAGCAGCCTGGAGCTGTCAGGGAGGGGAACCCATAGAGAAAGTACTCAAGTGGCCTAAGATGATGGAATTGGAGGAGAGGCAAGAAGCAGGGGAAGTCAGCATTCTTTAAGAATTAGGATGAGCCCTGGCCGGTTTGGCTCAGTGGTTAGAGCGTTGGCCTGCGGTCCAGAGATACCCGGGTTCCGTTCTCACTAAGGGCATGTACCTTGGTTGCAGTTTGTCCCCGGCCCTGGTCGGTCATGCAGGTGGCAGCCACTCGATGTGTTCCTTTCACGTCGATGTTTCTCTCTCTCTCTCTCTCTCTCTGTTCCTCTCTCTCCCTCCCACTCTACCTGAACAAAAAATGGAAAAATGTCCTCGGGTGAGGATAAAAAAAAAAAAAAAAAGAGAAACAAGAATTAGGATGAGAAAACATTTAGGTGTTCATTCAACTGGACCTGGGGTCAGGGAGTGGAAATAAGGGAGATGTGTCCACCATGGGAATCACTATCCCCATATCTATTATTGGTCCAGGCAGGGAGAAGACAGAGAGGCCTTAATGAAATTGACACTGCATTCCTTCCAAATCTAATCTGAGACCCACGATGTTGTACTGGGGTGGGCCATGAAGGGAGCTTCAGAAATGTGGGAAATAGAAGAAGAGGGTGTGGGGACATGAGTGATGGGAGAGCCTAGGCAATTCATCTGTTTGTTTTTTTAAATATGGGACGCTTCACGAATGTGCGTGTCATCCTTGTGCAGGAACTATGCTAACCTTCTCGGTATCGTTCCAATCTTGGTGTATGTGCTGCCGAAGCGAGCACCAATTCATCTGTTAGAGGGCTTCCTAACAGGGCTAGGATTACTTCGAGGTGAGGAGGCATGGCATTTGTACCATCTCAAAATCATACCAATGTAGAGTTGGTCCCTGAGAGGGAGTGCCTCGTTGTTTTGTACCCTGGGTGCCTCACTTGCAGCACCCTAGTCCCAACCCTGATTCCTACACCAATTCCTCTTTGGCTCTAACCATGTCCTAAAAACAGAAAAAGAGGAGAGAGGGAAGCCACAAGGTCTAGTCTCTCTTGCTGGACTGGTTTCAATCACGTCGAGTCTGGGACACTGCTCCCTTTTGAGCTCTCAAACCCATCAGTTAGGATCTGGGCAGGAAACAAGCCACTCCACATTTTAAGCAGAAATGCCCAGATTCACTCACTTCTGTCCACTTACCCTTCAGAGTCTTCCCACACTCACCCCCTGCCGATTACCACTACAGCTTCTCAACAACATTTGTAGGCATGTCAACTAGCTCTGTATTGACAGGATATCTGAGCTGAGGCTTCCCAAACCTCCAGTTATCTAGAGTTTCCTGTGCAGAATTCAATGGTTGGTAATTTGAGCCCCACTCCCAGCTATGTTCATGTAGATGCCCACCCCCACATGCCCTCTTATATAACCGCAAAAGCCTGGAAGCATCTTCAATACTTAAAATCAAGGAGTGGGGAATACATCCTAAAATGCCCTAATCTGGCTTCCCATGACCATATGAGTCCCTCAGCAGAGCCAGTGTCATGTTAGAGACAGGACACAGAAGTCCTAGACCCAAAATGAGGGCCCTGGGCACTCTCATCGTATTCCTGTACCACAGAGACCCCCACCATCGGCACGGGGTGGGCCATTTGGTGCGTTTCCTGGAACTGTCCATTTGTGCTCCATACTTAACCTGTGCAAAAATATGAAACCCGAGCCCACCATTGAATTGGACTCAAGGCATTGTTTTAGTCTGGTGACCATTTAAACTGAAATGCATTTTTAGCTCTATTTCATGACAGGTGGCCAGAGTAGAACAACCAGCATGATTTATTAATGCCTGATCACCCATCATGGGTATTGATATATTTTTGCTGCACAGTATCAGCCAGAAGGATATTAGTTTCAAGGGACAAGGCTCATGTGGGAAGGTGGTATTATCCAACGTCACTTGAACTTCTGACAAAACTTATTCCAAGAACTCATCATCTGAGCCTTCAACCAGCACCCATGAGGAGGGGTAGATGCACAGTCGTGTCCCAGGCACAACAGGCAGGCTGGGCTAAGATGCTGCTTTCTTTAGCAGAGACGTTAATCTCTGACGTCTGATTTAGAGCTCAACATGTGTAGCTCTTCAACAAGAGATTGAAAAGAAGTGAATAGGCTTAGCTGTATGCTTAGTTGTATTAGGGGGGTTTAGGCTGCCATGAGAGAAGCTCACAGTAATCGACAGTTCTAGTCTCTTGTTGGAATGTTGTTGTCATCCTGTGACTCTTAACACTGCTCCCCTGGGCTATGCTGTCAAACCCATTCAGTAGTTAGGATTCTGTGCAAAGAACCAAAGTCACTCTAGGTGTCCTAGGGAATCTAAGCAGAAAGGAATTTGATACAAGACATTCAACATTGCTGGAAGGGCTGGAGCCGAGGGATTCCTACCTGGACGCTCCAGGACTGGTGACCTCTGAGGCTGACCTTTCTGTACTTTGTTGGCATGCACATATTAACTGACTGCTATGGAAATTAGGAAAGTATTAAACATATATTCTAAGAATAATATAAAACCCATTCTGCATTATTTTTTCATGAAATTCTGGCTTTTCAAGCATACTTTGTATCAACTTGAGCTACTACAGCCTTAGATAAACCTGCCTTTTTACCCCCAACTTTATCAGAATTGGGTATTTGCATTAAACAGTTTTCTAAGTTGTTTTATAATTGAGACATTTTACAGTAAAAAAAATTATTTTTAAATCATCTTAGAAGACACCTTGCCCAAGAAAAACAGAAATTTTTTTTTTTTTTATCCTCACCCGAGGACATTTTTCCATTTTTTTTTTGGTACAGATAGAGTGGGAGGGAAAGAGAGGAAGGGAGAGAGAGAGAGAAACATCAACGTGAAGGGACACATCGAGTGGTTGCCACCCGCACGACCAACCAGGGCCGGTGACAAACTTCAACCGAAGTACGTGCCCTTAGCGGGAACCGAACCCGGGTCTCTCCGGACCGCAGGCCGACGCTCTAACCGCTGAGCCAAACTGGCCAGGGCGAAAATGTTTTTTTCTTAATTAAATGCCATCACACTAGAAAAAATATTCTTCAAGATTAACATTTTCCCTTCAACTTGTATAGTAGTCTGTTTTTTTCATTTTTTGTTTGTGAGTTGTCTCTTCACATTTGTTGCCCATCTACTGGGTCTATTTTAATCATAACTGCAAATGAGGTATTATGTGGTATAGATTTTAACCCTATGAGACATATACTTAATCATACAAGTATTACTTCATGTTTTTCCAAACAGGTCCTTCCTTTTTATGTCATCCACTAGTATAGGACTCTAACACGTGTGTGTGTGTGTGTGTGTGTGTGTGTGTATGTATATATCTCTATATCCTATGTAAATAACATTAATAATAGCTATCATGTATTGAACCCCTATTCTGTGCTAGACAGCAGGCTGTTGATATACAATATCTCCTTTAATTTTCCTAACAATTCATTTTACAAAAGAAGAAACAGTCTCTGAAAAGTTAAGCAACTTGCACAAAAGGTTTTATGACATTGTCATGATTTGGTTTATTTTTTTACCCTCACCTGAGGACATTTTTCCATTTTTTGTTCAGATAGAATGGGAGGGAGAGAGAGAAACATTGACGTGAAAGGGACACATCGAGTGGCTGCCACCCGCACAATCCAACCAGTGCCAGGGACAAACTGCACCTGAGGTACACACCCTTAATGGGAACCGAACCCGGGTCTCTCTGGACCGCAAGCCGACGCTCTCACTGCTGAGCCAAACTGGCCATGACATTGTCATGATTTGAATGAAGGTCTTTCCGACTCTAAAATTGTATGTTCAACTCACATATACTCTACTCTTTCTGGCCTTCTTTATTTTCTTTGATTTTGGAGAGAGAGGAAGGGAAAGGAAGAGAGATAGAAACATCAATGAGAGAGAACATTGATTAGCTGCCTCCTATATACCCCCCACTGGGGATTTGGTCCACAACCACTGAGCCACACAGCCAGGCTCCGTGGTTTTCGATGAGAAAACCTATTGTCATTCAAATTGTTTATCACCCTATAGATAATGCATCTTTTATCTTTTGCTGATTTCAAGATTTTTTTGCTTTTAGTTTTCAGAAATTTGACTTTGTGTCTTTCATGAATTTCTTTGGGTTTCTGCTATTTGGAGCTTACTCATTTTCTTGAATCTGTAGGTTTATGTCTTTTGCCAAATTTAGGAAATTGTCAGCCATTTTTTTAAAATACTTTTTCATCTCTGCCTCTTTCTTTCACCTTTCAAGACTCTGGTGACACAACTTTTAGGTCTTTTGTTATAGCTCCAGAAGTCCCTGAGACTATGTTCATTTTTTTGGTCTATTTTCTCTGTTGTTCAGATTAGGTGGTTTCTACTTTTCTGTCTTAAAGTTCAGATTCTTTCCTCTGTCTTCTCAATTCTGCTGTAGAGCCCATCCATAGAGTTTTAATTTAGTTATTGTATTTTTAAGTTTTATGATTTCCATTTGACTCTTCCTTATCTATCTATCTTTCTTTCTTTCTTTTTTTTTTTTTATCCTCACTGGAGGACATTTTTCCATTTTTTGTTCAGATAGAGTGGGAGGGACAGAGAAGGTGAGAGAGAGAGAAACATCGACACGAAAGGAACACATGGAGTGGCTGCCACCCGCACAACCCACCAGGGCCGGGGACAAACTGCAACCAAGGTACATGCCCTTAGCGGGAACCAAACCTGGGTCTCTCCGGACCGCAGGCCAACACTCTAACCTGAGCCAAACTGGCCAGGGTCCTTATCTTTCTTTATTGAGACTTTGTTTTCGTTGGTTTCAAGTGTGTTCATAACTGCTCACTGAAACATTATGATGGCTGCTTTCAAACCCTCTGTCAAATAATGCTAACATCTGTGTCATTTAAGTGTGGATGTCTAATTATTGTCTTTTCTCATTCACGTTAAAAGAATATTCCTGGTTCTTGGTATGAGTGATTTTTGTTCTTTTTTTACTGACAGATGAACATTGTGGGTACTATGTTCTAAGATCTTAGATTTTATTTAAATTTCTGTTTTAGCAGAACTTCTCTGACACTGCTGTGGTGAGTGCCACCTTGTTCCTCTCCACAGAGCAGTTAACAGGTTTGCTTGGTGTCTGGGATTTCCAGTATGGTTTATAAAGCCCTTAGTGATTTTTCCAAGTATTACTATATACAACAATAAAACCACTGGTGGAAGGAATGGAGAAGCCCAAGTAAATCAGCCCAGGTATGCCTACCTAGCTGACTCATTTAAGATAGAATTAATTGTTAGTCAGTAAGAACAGGCTCCACTAGGCTCTGTTATGGCCCAAATATTCATAAATCCCTAAAATTTATATGTTGAAATCCTAACCCCAAAGGTGATGGTATTAGTAGGTGGTCTTTTGGAGGTGCTTCAGTCAAGAGGAGGAACCTTTATGAGTGGGATTAGTGCCTTATAAAAAAGTCTCCAGAGAAATCCCTAGGAAAGGTTCTTTTTTTGGGGGGAGGGAGAATATGTGCCCCTAGCGGGAACCGAAAACAGGCCTCTCTGGTCCGCAGCTCCAACCGCTGAGCCAAACCGGCCAGGGCAGGAAAGGTTCTTGAGTGAGTCTTAATAAGTACATTATTTGATAAGCAAGCTGTTTGTCCAGATAACCAAACTACTCATTCCCACCAGTTATTCCTCAGCCTGAACTGGAGTCTAGACCATTACCATCTGGAATTAATATCAATTCAGATCTTTACTACTATTTGAGGTGTTGTAATT